CGGAGTTGTGTCATGTTTATATGGCTGATAGTCCTTGAATTAATTCATGTCAAATGTGGGCAGGGAAATCATCCAAAAGATGGGCAGCCAGTGGTCATGAAGCTTGCCAAGTTTGGATTTTCTATTCGCCATCGACGTACCATTGCTTCTGTTCCCAAGGTACATTTTCATTTAACCTAAGATTATCAAATGATGGGCAACCAGCATGTAGTGCCGTATAGGACAGTAGCTAGTGACCTCAAGATATATGTTTTTCCTTCAGTTCACTGATACGTCTTCCAGTGTGTTAGTACATACCATTAGTCAGTAGTTATCCACCAAACAATTAGAACTACCTGTCCTTTCCTCTTGCAAATTTTTAATCAATGGTTTGCATGCAGAATATGAATCCAAATGATGTTACCCTAGAGAAAGCATTGGAGTTTTTGTCAAGTAAAAATGTAAGACAATCTGGCCGACCTAAGAACAAACCGAAGGTTGAAGAAGCTATGGAGGTGCTATAGCCCTAGCAACCATGAGGACATCAAAGCTTTTGCAATGACTGATACTAGTATACAAGCTTCTTCGTCCCTGACTTTTGCATCTGGAGATTATTTTAACAGCAGATGAGGTCTGATATACTTCCATAACAATGACTTGGCTGTAAGTTTATGTCAGTTGTAATGTATTTATGTTTTCATCCCATTTCTAATTGAGATTATGGTAATGGAACAGGGATGGCAATGGACTCTGGTATTTGACAATCCTTCTTGATTATAGAAGATTTTGGTCCCTACTAAATGAGTTTGGGATGTCTTCTTAACTATTGGGGATTCAGGGGATTCGACTGTAAGTTTAGAACAAGCTTCATATTTGGCATATAGACATGCTATTTTTTCATTAAGATAGTGCAGATATAGGATACTTGTACATCGTAAATTTATCTTTTTACCCGAAACCAGGGGAAAAAAAGAGTTCTCTAGAAATGGAAAACTGTAACATTGGATAAGACCTTTGTTTGTTATACATTTGCATGAAATAATTCACCATTCTTTGTTGTGAGCATTCACATATACTCTGGTTTATGATTATAGGATTTCACTTTTAGAAGTACATACAAGTGGTGAGTGAAAGTAGTTAATATGCAGACGTAGATAGATAATGGTTGGAATAGGAAAACTCATACTTTGGTAGCGTCTAACATATTCTAACACATAAGTAGTGCCAGCAAAACCACACATCAGTAATTTCAAATTGAGTGAAGGTTGAGTTTAATGCAAATGGGGAAATTAAGCTTTCGACATAGGGAATCACACAAAAGCTATGGTTAGGGAGGAGAAGGCCGTGGATTGCAATCTTCTTTGCTAATAATCCATCTCGATTGAAAAGGGATAATCTTGTCTCGCCATGTTCACTTGCTAGAATATCTCCATTTTTTGTGACACACATAGGAGGGAACACAGTGTTGCCTATGTACGTTCTAATCAATTTAAGCTAGTATTTTGTTTTTGTCACCTCATGTACCTCATGTTCCTCCATTACAAATAGATCGCAATGAATATTATTATAGTCACAAGCCAAACAAAGAGAATTCCCCAAAAGACTAAGCATGCCGCATTTGAATTTATTAAATATGCCATCATCTCCAGCTACAACTGACTGATAGTCTCCATAAAATTTTTTTTGATCTTTGTGAAAATGTTTAACTGACCATATTCTGTTGTAAATCCCATCATCTAATATACCAAAAAAATGATTACTCTAATAATTACTACTTCAATATCATTCTCATGACAATATATATCATGAGCATTATGTTATAAGAAGCCTTTTATAATTTTATGTCTTTTCACCTTATTTATAACCATATCATGGAGTACTTTTACAGACTTAAGAATAACTGAATAAGCTTTTGTTTCGCATATACCATGAACACCAAACCAAACACCAAAAGCTAGTTCATTTGGTAATATGAGGGTTGATCCAAAGTTCATTTAAGATATTGGGGGAATATTATAAGATAAAGTTGTTGTCTAAATATTTGGAAGAATGGTACCCAAAGGCCTTATACACTGACAAGTGGGCGCTTATGAGATGTCACCAAGTATCATTCCAGAAATTCAAAGTATTAATTTTGATATCAATGATATCTTTTAATAATATGGAAACTACTTCCAAGCATATAATAACTTGTATTTGGATTTTAATATAATTAAGGTGTATTTTAGTCTACATATTCTTTATAGTTGTAAAGTCAATGACAATTAATAATAGAAGGTTAAATGCTAGATTTGGTCCCTCAACTATAGTGGTTTGCACATTTTTGGTCCCTTAACAATTTTTTGCACTTTTTTGATCCCTCAACTTACGAAATGCACTCCGTTAGTCCTTCTGTTAATTTCGATCATTAACTCGCTTATGTGGCATTTTTTATTATTTTTTTGATGACGTGGCAAAAACAAACTAAAAGCAATTGTTAGTGGTGATGTGGGACCCACTTGCATGGATTTAGTGTGTTTTCGCCTGATAGCATCTGACATGGCAAAAATTTTATCCATGTCATCACTTTTTGAAATTTTGCTCTCCACGTCATAAAAAAAAATATAAAAAATGCCACGTAAACAAGGTTAACGGCCCAAATTAACAGAAAGACTAACGGAGTGTATTTCGTATAGTTGAGGGATCAAAAAAGTGCAAAAAATTGTTGAGGGACCAAAAATGTTCATTTCTTAAAGTTAAGGGACCAAATTAAGCATTTAACCATAATAAAATGCAGTTATTTTTTTCAATTAAGTTTGAAACTCTTACACACCCAAGTACATGTTACTACTAACAGCCCTACCAAATACCAACAATGGTTCTACAGTTTAGTAGATCTTTATGAGAAAGACTTATAAAAATGTGTCAATGACGTGGATAATTTAGTATTAACTTTTTTAGTAAAAATAAAAAATTTTGAACTCAATTCACATAATATATGGTGAAATAAGTTAAAAAATGAAAGGAACAACTCAAAATTCAAAAAAAAAAAAAATTATAGGTGTAAAACTATGCTTTTTGTCATAGTTTATATTTTTTTTCTTCTAAATTATTAAATTTCCAGTGTGGTATGAGCAGTGTGGTATGAGCATTACGTATCTTTGGAACTCTTCATTTTTTTTTTTTTTGAACAAGTTGTCATGGGACGGACTCCAAACCCATCCATAGAGAAAAGGGGAATGCACCTCAAATTGGCTGAGTGCCAGTTGACCCGAAGGGTCAAGTGCCTTTGGAACTCTTCATTTGATAATTAGATCTAATGGATAATTAATTTGACCACGAGGTTGATTAATTTTATATTTGGTATATCTAGATGAGTAACACCATATAATTATATAATCTTTTCCCCTCTAAATTTTTTCATCTATCTTAAAATTAAACTTAGAAACCCCTAATTATTTTGTAATATAATAATTCAGGTAATTTGAAAATAAAAATTTAAACTAAACTATTTAATTTAATTTTAAAATTTTATAATTCAAACCAACTCTAATTAATATAATTCAATCCGTTTCAATTGGTGGTCAACCAATTGAGATGAGATATTAAGAGTCCGAGTATATACTGAGAGAAGGCCATCCTTTAATTTGCGAAGTATCCTGCTTTTGCTGCTCGTGAAAATTGGAACTCCTGCTGAAAATTAGGGTTTTAAGTTGGGGTAAAGGTGTAAATTTCCGACCGTTGAAGATGGGATCTGCAGGAAGCCGAGAATCGATCAAGATATTTCTACTTAAGCAGCTGTAGTAAAATTAAACAAAGATGGTAGTAAAATTAAGTAGAAATAATTTGATTAAAGAGCTAAAAATAATTCTAAAGTCATGAGTCAGTTAATTATATCTAGTAAAAAATAGAATTAACTGAGATCAATGCAAACAATAACTATTAGGATATATTAAACCAAAAAAGAGAGATAAAAACCTAATTTCAATTAAGCTCATACTATAATTTTATGAGACAAATAACTTTAACTCTAATTTTAGCAAACAAATAGCAAGATATCGGGAAACTGCATTCCATAAATTAAATATACTAACCGTTGAACAGTCTAATACTCAGTGAAGTTAAGACTATGACAACTGGTGTTCTGGTGTTAGAATTTTCCTTGATGCTTAAATTTTTTCCATCACCAGCCCTCATGCTTCCTCTTTTAGGATTTTCAACTTTACACACAACTCCTATTAAATCTGAAAGTATAAAAGAATTGTTTGTGATGTTATCTAATTAAATCAATTATTTAATTATGAATTTAAGGGGCTTCTTACCGGTTTAAATGACATCTTTGTTCAACCGATTTTGAGCTTAAGCATAAGACGAGGACTTGTTTGGTATAGATTGTAAAAAGAGCTTTTTGATTCTAAAAGCATAAATTGCACCAAACACGACAGCTTGTCAAATGTGCTGCAACTTCTCAGAAGTTGGTTTTCTTCCCATTCCTTTGCAAATCCGGGAAGGCCCAATTTTTGCGCTTCCACCGGAGCTTCTCACTTGAAGATTAATGAAATTGACATGCTATTCACATTTTATCCTCACACGTCCTTTTATTTACAAAAAAACCACTATATATAGGGTTCATTTTATACCTCCATTTCTTTCTTTCTTTCTGCAGCAGCCGATCCTGGTTTTCTTCTCCCTGCCTCCTTGCCCGTCTTCTTCCAAAGCAGACCGGAAAATCCCCACCGTCAGTCACCGGCCTTCTTTCTCCCTAACTGCTTCAAAGCAGAAAAGCCCATTTCTCCTCACCGGAAATTCCCCACCGTCAGTCAGCGCTAAAATCCCATTTCTCCTCCTTCGTCTTCTGTGAGTCTCCTTCCTTTTCTCTGATTTTTTTTTCCTTTTTTGGTGTTTCTGCTACTAATTTGGTGGTGATGAATGATGATTGTCGGTTGGTAGTGTGAGTTGGTGAAAGTTTTAACTGAAAATCCCTTCTCGTTCCTTGTCATCTTGCAGATCTGGGCCACGCGACGACAGTCACAACCGCCGAGGACTGCCCAGACGACCGCGATAATCCTCGTCTTCTCCCCGAAAATCCCCAATTGCTGTTAGTTACCGTGAAACCGCGACGAGCTTGAGGATCCATTGCTACCAGATCTGCAAAGCCACTGGTAGCTCCCATTTCTCCCCTTTCTTTTCTTTTTGATCCTTTTGATTGAAAATTGTTTGAAGATTTTTTATTGATTATTACTGTTTCTTCTTCTACTTCTTCATGTCAGAAGACTTTGTGTCTTGTACTCTGCCATTGTTTCCGCATTTTTCTTTTGTTTTTCCGCATTTTTCTTCTATTTTTAACTTCTTGTTTCTATTTTTGGATAATAAGCTTCATGGGTTTGTGGCAAAGAATTGGTAAATCGTGATGCTTGTGTGCTCTGCCTCCTGTTATCTTGTGAATTTTACTGTATTTTAGCAGTTCTGATATTTAGAAAAGTTGTGAGGATCCAAGGCGTTGTTTTAGCATTTCTGAATTTACCATTTCTTCGGTTGGTGTGGCTGTCATGCACACTTCCTCCCGCCAGGTCATATCCTCTCTACCTTCCTATGCCTCTATATTCATTGATTGCTCTCTATGCGATTTGATCTCAGTCCACTGATTCTCTGAGTTTACTAGCAGCTCTAAGTCACGGCGTAATCAAATGTCTTCTTCACCTTATCAGTTTTTGATCCGTAGTTTTCTTTTGAATGAGTGGTTGCTAATCAGTTGGCCTTTGCTGATTTTTGAATTTTGAAGTTTTTTTTTTTGTCAGACCGATGTTCATGTTCGAATTTGTTTACGTTTTTTTTGGCAAGTATTACTACTCAACAGTTTAGGGATTACTGAATTATTTCCGAGTGTGTTTTGCAGTATAATTGCTGTTTATTTTAAGATTTGCTGTAACATTCTGGATGAGCTTGATTGTTTTGAGATATGAAGATAATGTGATGACTCTATTTTTTTGGTAGGAATACAGTGCGAGTTTGTGCTTTTACTTACCTTGAGATTGTTATTTCTCGATGGTTTTTAGTCTTTTGAATTTGATGATGTGTGATTATTACGTTTCAATTCTTTACAGGATGTGTGCCCTTGGCTTGATTAGTATTGATGATGATGTTACCTGCTATCGTCTTTTGATTCTTACATGGGAAATGAGAATGCTAACATTGAGACAATCGTTGAATTTCACTCCAAGTATTTAACTGGTTTGACATCCAACTTGATGTTAGATATCTGCTAATATAGAGGTAAATTAGATCGATGTTGCTTGCATACTGCAAAAAAAAAAAAAAAAAACATGATCAATCTCTTTGGCCTAAACCTGATTATGTGGTTGTGATCCCTTACTCTTTTTCTGAGTGATATATGTATCTGCAGAACTTTTAATAAGATAGTTTCTCACTGTTTACTTGTCTGACTAAAGAAATTTGATTTCAGATAAGCATGGATGCACAGAGTGTTACTGCTCGACTTAAAAATTCAGGTCTTTTTCGGACGCAGGGTCTAATAGGAGGGAAGTGGATTGATGCTTATGATGGGAAGACCATTAAGGTTTGCCACTGATGAGCCTAAATTTCATACAATTATACATGGCTTTTTAGTCATGAATTGTAGTCTTTTATATTTTATTGGAACAATTTTATTTGGTTTTACATTACTTTTATCATTCTTT